AAATATGGATGCTGAGTTTCATGTTCGTGTTTCCCCTTCACGGAGTTGGCTTTCTTTTTCAGTGTGGTCCCCATACACTTCCAGCTCTTTGCCTTCTGGGCACAAGATAAGACCCTTAATTCCTGCTCACCTTGTGATTGAGTTTGGATCATTGGACTAGATCTGAGTCCCTTCTGGGCTGGAGCATTAGATTTCATAAATTCTGCAGCCTCTCTGCCACAAGTCTCCCTGTTCACTGTGGTGGCTGCTGCATCAGCCTGAGGCCCCAGGTGAGAAGACATGGAACAGAATTCCCAGCCTTTGTGTTATGTTCTAATTAATAAATCTTTACCCAGAACCAGCTTTTGGCTCTTGGTTTTCCTCTATTGCTTGTCTTTTAGCATTCCTTTTATTTGCTTTGGGTTTAATTTCTATTTTTATAGCTTCTTAAGGTAGAATCTTAGATCCTTAATCTTAAACCTTTCTTCTTTTCTAAGTATATAAAGCTAATTTTTTTCCCTGTGAATACTATTTAGCTATACCCCACAAATTTTGATATGTTGAGTTTTTATTATGATTCTGTTTGAAATATTACATTGTTTTCCTTGTGATTTTTATCCTCTGACCCATAAATTATTTAGAAATGTCTTGCTTTATTTTTTAATATGTGGGTTTTTCTAGGTACCATTTTGTTACTGATGTTTAAGTTACAGGTAGTTCCTATGTGGTCAGAAAACATGTGGATGATTTCAGTCCTTTTACAATTTGAGACTTATTTTGTCATTCAGGATATGGTCTATCTTAGTGAATGTCCCATTCACACTTGAATAGAACATGTGTATTGTGCAGTTGTGTGACCTGGATTAGATCAAGGTGTTTGCTATTATTGAAATCTTCTGCATCGTACACCAGTTTTCTAGTCATTGTTCCACCAGTTGCTGAGAAAGGAGTTTGCAAATGTCCAGCTGTGATTTTGGATTTATCCTTTTACCTTTTAGTTCTGTCAATTTTTGCTTGATATCATTTGAAGTCCTGCTATTAGATGCATTCATATTTAGGATTGTCCTGTATCCATTTAATTGTTATGAAATGACGATTATACTTTAGAGATATTGTCTTAAAGTCTACTTTCTCTGACTTCAATATAACCACGTTAGCTTTCTCATGCTTCTGTTTTACATTGTATATATTTGTTCTCCTTTTAACCTTCAACTTATGTGTGCTTTCATACTTAAAATATATCTGAACACATACTTTAATCTTGCTTTTTTAAAATCCAGTGTGCTATCTTTGACTTTTAATCAGAGTGTTTAGACCATTTACATTTAATGTAATTAGTGCTATACTTGGATTTATATCTATCTTGGTATTTGTTTTCCTTTTGTTCCCTGTATTTGTTACCTTCTTTTTTCCTTTGCTGCCTTTTTTAGGTGGAATATTATTTTAGTATACCATTTTATTTCTCTATGGTTTATTAAGCTACAATTCTTAGTGTTATTATTCTAGTGGTCGCTTCTTGGCAGTATTTCTCAAACATTGATGTACCTCAGAATCACCTGAGGATTATATCAAATGTAGATGTCTAGGTCCCATCACAGAGGTTCTGAGTCAGTGTGTCTGGAGTGAGGCCTGTGAGTTTAAATTTTTGATAAGTTCTTAGATCATGTTGATGCTGTTGTCCAGGGACCATACTTTGAGAACCATTGCTCTGGAAATGACAGGATGTACTCTTAATGTATAGTCTATCCTGAATTTGTTTCACATATACCATTTCAAATATCATTTCGAGTGTAATGTTGTAACCTTACAGTAGTAGAATTTCATTTATATTCTTCCCTGGGTTTTTTGTTTTTGCTATGTTCTCAGGTATTTTACTAATATATATTTTATAAATCATATAGTACATTTTTATTTTTGTTTTAAGCAATTATTTGACTTTTAAAGAATTTAAGAAAAGAAAGTTTATTTTACCTTTTACCATCTATTTATCATTTTCATTCTTTTCTGTACATCTAAATTTCTATCTGGTATTTTCCTTAAGCATCAAGAACTCCCTTTTACATTCTTACAATGTCATTGTATTAGCAACAAATTTTCTTATCTTTAGTTTATCCAAAATATCTTTATTTCACCTTCATTCTGAGAAATGTTTTCATTGGTTATTCTCAGTTGATAGCCTTTAAAGATAGTGTATGTTGTCTTCTGGACTTATTTGTTTCTATTAAAAAATCAATTATTACTCTTATCCTTGTTCCCTTTTATGTAATGGTTTAACGTTTGTTTTTTGTTGGTTTTGCTCTGGCTGTTCTGAAGTATTTTTATTTTATTTATTTATTTATTTATTTATTTATTTATTTATTTATTTATTTATGTTTTTATTGATCTTTTAGAGACAGAGGAAGGGAGAGAGAGATAGAAATATCGATGTGAGAGAGAAACATCGATCAGCTGCCTCCTGCACGCCACCCACTGGGGATCAAGCCCGCCACCCAGGCATATGGCCCAACCGGGAATTGAACCTGGACCTCTCAGTCAATGGGACGACTGACGCTCATTCCACTGAGCCACACCAGCTGGGCTGAAGTATTTTTCTTTTGTTTTTGTTTTTTTAGCAATTTAGCTATGTTCTGTGATAGTGGAGTTTTTTAATTTTATTTATCTTTTGGAGCATTTGCTAACCTTCTAGAGTTGCAAGTTGTGGTTTTATTCAAATTTGGAACTTTTCATGTATATTTTTTTCTCACCTGTTCTCTCCTCTCCTTCTGGGACTCCAACTACACACATATTAATTTACTTAATACAGTCCACAGTTATAGCTTTTACCTATTGATTACTTTGGTGTAATTAACCACACCTACTTAATAAGAACCTTCAATTTTTAAATAAGTCGTTAGATTATTGTAATGGTAGGGTTTCTTTTCTTCACTCTGATAGATGTCCCTATTCCATTACTGGCATTTTATTATTACAAAGATTTGCCATAATGCTACTGAGAATGTGCTCTAGATTAAATTATTGTAATTGCATTAAGCAATGCACATTATTTTTATCGAGTATTTTCTGTAACTTACATAGAACTTCTCGCAAGTGCTTTTGGGCCTGTCCACTCCCTCTCTCCTCCGTCCGCGTGTTTGCGAAGGCCCGTGACTCCATCCTCAGACCCTTCCCTTTCCGGCCTTGCTCACTCTCCATGTGATCTCATCCAGTCTCAGGCTTGCAGCCATGACCACAGCTGATTCCATCTCCAGCCCGGACCTCTCCCTAATTCCACACCTGTGTATCGCACTGCCGACTGGACACCTCCACTGAGCTGCCTCTCAGGCCTCTCAGACTTAGCACGTCCTGGACTCGTAGAACAGATGCTCCTACTGTCTTCTCCATTTTGATTTCTGGCATTTCCTTTCTTTAAAATGTTTTTTTTCTTTTATTGAGTTGAGAGAGAGAGAGATAGAAACATCGATGAGAGAGAACATTGACTGGCCGCCTCCTGCATGCTCCCCACTGGGGATCTGGCCCACAAACAGGCCATATGTTCTGACCAGGAATCGAACCGGCGACCTCTTGGTGCATGGGTCAATGCTTAACCACTGAGCCATACTGACCAGAGGGCATTTCCATTATTTTAATTGTTCAGCCCAAGCATCTTAATGCCTCTGTAGCGCCCCTTTTTCTCTGGTCTATCAGCAAATCCTAGTAGCTGTAGCTTCTCATGCATCTAGAATCTGACCGCTTCTCACCACTGTCTCACTGCTACCACACTGACCCGCCCCTTGGGTTGGTTCCGGGACAGCGTCTTCCCCCTGCTCTCCCTGCCTCTGTCCCTAGCCCACCACAGGCAGTGTTCAGCACAGCAGCCAGAGTGATGCTGCTAAATGTGGACCCATCACGTCATTCCTCTGCTCAAAGCCCTCTAAGCTGGTGGCTTCCCGTCTCACTGAGTCACAAAGTCGAATATGGTCTGTGAGTCCCTGTATGAGCTGACTCACCTTGGCTCTTTCTCTTCAGCTCCTCTTGCTTTCCACTCATTCTCTCTGCTCTTTCCCTCTTGGCTGTGCCTTAAACATGCCAAGTAGCCCCACCCCGTCCTCGTTTACTTTTCCCGCTGCCTGGTGTATTTTCTTCCCAAGATGTCCACAAAGCACCTTCATGTCCTTCAAACCTTTCACTGAAAATGGCCTAGTGACGCCCCCGTATGCACCGTTTCTAAAACGTCAGCATCCTCCCGTGTTCTCCCATACTCACGCCTATTACAGGTCTCTTCCCTGCATCCTCTTCCCTAGCGTGTGTTACTGTACGATGTTTGTATGTCTTACCTAATTACCCCTCTGTTGTCTCTCTCCCCACAACTGAGCGAAAGGTAACAAGATCAGGGACGTTTGTCCATCTTTTAATCACTGCATTCCCGGTGTTCCCGATAGTGCCTGGTACCTACCGGGTGTTTTGTAGATGTTTTTTGAATACATAAATGAATAATAGAGCTGGGCTACAAGCTTCCCTGTTGCCAGTAGCTGCCACCCTCTAAGCATACTCCCACATCTGAATGTCTTTGGCCCAGTTTCGTCTGCAGAATGACGCAGTGAAACATTTGAAATAAGTACTGTAAACTTGGAAAGCTTTCCCCATGAAGCACGTCTGTAAAAGGTGAGCGGGCAGACGGCACAGCCGCAGCGGGCCCTGCGTGTGGACGGGCGCTGTCGTGACGCCTGCGTGGAACCGGCTCCGTCGCCTGCGAGGCTCCGTGTAGCCACCAGAGTATCTGAACAGTGGGGCGTGCGGCGCTGCTTCCATGAGGACCAGTTGGAAGTAAACGTACCGTTGATCTTCTCTGTCATCTAAAGTCTCAGCTGTGTTAAGCTGACCATTCCTGTATCACCCATATATCATGTTTGCCTTCTGTTTTTTTGGAAATGAGATTTCAAGGCGGGAAAGAGAAAATTTCATATTCTGAGTATTCATGTTAGTGCTTTATATTAGTATAAAGGTTTTTATTTTAACAATTCTTGTTTTATTATTTTATTCAGGGCAACACAACTATTTATGTGCTGGACGAAATGACTGCATCATTGATAAGATTCGACGGAAGAACTGTCCTGCCTGCAGACTTCAGAAATGTCTTCAAGCTGGAATGAATTTAGGAGGTAAGTTTGTGTTCTTAGTTCAATAAAAATTGGCAACATGTAAGATAGTACCACTAGGCTCTACGAATGCCCAAAATTTAACATAAACTAACATGGAGCAAAGATTTCCAAAAATCTAACAAGTTCTATATTCCTGTTAAAACCTTTTTGGAGAAAAGTGTGTCTTAACAGGAGTTCAAAAGACATGTGTTATGTGTTGTGGTTCTAGTGACATTTTCAGCCCTGAGTTTGCAAAGGTTTCAAGAACAGGGCAGATAACCAAAACCAAAATGAATGACTTTATATAATATTGTAGCTAACAGTTTTTATTATCATATCTGTTTATAAATAAGACATACATATGATAACATTAACCAGATAGGAATACATTTCTAACTCTAGTAAATGCAATAAAGGAAGACTTATATGAGAAAAACTTTAAAATGTTTTAGGAGCTCACCAAAAAAAACACACAAAAAAGAAAGTGCACGGGGGTGGTGGTGGGGGGGGGGGGTTGTTAAAGACTTGAACCAAACACAAAAGTATACAACCTTCATGGTTGGGAAAATTCAGCCTCCTAGGGGTGTCTGTTTTCCCTAAATTAATTTATAAATATAACACAATCCTAGCAAAAATACCAATTGATGATTCTAAGTTTCTAAAGAAAAGCCAGTAAAATTCTGGAAAAGAAAAATGAGGGCAGCTAGCTCTTTCAAATAGTAAAAAATATGATACAGATACAATAATTAAAACAGCCTGTGTATTTATTTACCAGTTGTCAAATCAACAGAAAGTCAAGAAATAGATTCAAATAATATGAGAATTCTGTATATAAAAAGTTGGCATTTCAGATCAGTAGGGAAACGGTAGATTATTCAACAGAAGTCATTGTGACAACTGAGAAGCCATCTGGAAAACAAGAAAGTGAAATCCAAACTCTTATTATTCACCACAATAAATTCTGGATATTTCAAAGATTTAAACTTTAAAATATAGCTACAGAAGTACTAAAAGAAAACATGGATTTTAAAAAAAATTGCTCTTTAAGTAAAGAAGATATTTCTAAGCATTTAATAAATGCAAAAGCTATCCACAAAAAGAATGGAAGAAATCACCACTACTTACAAATCAAATATTACTGCAAACAGTAGCTGGGCCAGAGAGGCCATGCCGGCTAAGAGGCAGAATGCCTGGTGGGAACTCTTGTTCGGCCACTTCCTGACCTTGTGACCACAGGCAAGTTACCACAGTTCTGTGTTTCCTTATCTTCCACCTTCATTGACCAGTGCACTGACCTCCTGGGCTGTCGTGAAGACCACATGAGTGAATGTACAGTGGAAAGAAAGTGATCACTCAGTCCATGTCACTGGTGTGCTGAGTGTGTAACACTCACTGCAGTCTGTAGCACTTTTACACGTCGCCTGAAAGACACTATTGCCCCATGTTTTGGTTATGTTAACCTTGGGTGACTTGCCCAGAGATGCCCCAGCCAGTGAATGATGAAGCTGGCTGGTGGATCTGTGGGCTCCTGGTCTGGTGTTTCTGGTATACCACACTGCCCCTCTTTCTGATATCCAAATCGCCGCAGATGTGGCACAAAAGAGCACCTTCTGGAGCATGTGAGTGAGGACCAGGGGAGCTTCGTTTGCAATCCAGGTAGCACAGTTGCACAGCATTGCTCGCAAAGGGAGCTCCCAATCAGTTTTGTCAAACTCAGCATCTGTAATTTCAGCACACGTAGATGCAGTAGGAAGATATTTTTAAAGTATCTGCATACAATTTTATACAACTTTACAAATAGTATATAATATATTGACATGTATTATAAATATTACCATTAATTATACTCTACAAAATGCAGTCACTATTGGTTACTAAAAAAAATAGCAGAATCACCATACTTACAATTCCTACCTAATAAGGTTGTTTTAAGGATGAACTAAGTCAGTCCATAACCTTGGGAACAGGGTTTCTCAGCCTCTGCACTGCTGACATTGTGGACCAGGGAGTTTTGTTGTGGAGAACTGTCCTGTGCATTGTGGGATTTTTTCAGCAACCCTGGTCTCTACCTACCAGATGCCAGTGGTGACAGTCAGAAATGTTTCCAGCTCTGGCCAGTTTGACTCAGTGGTTAGGGTGTTGGCCCTTGGACCAAAGAGTCACGGGTTCGATTCTGGTCAAGGGCATGTACCTCGGTTGCAGTTCTTTTTTTTTTTTAAATCTTCACCTAAGGATATTTTTCTCTTTATCATCATATAGAGTGGGAGGGAGGGGGAGAGAGGGAGAGGAAGAGAGAGAAACTTCAATGTGAAAGAGAAACGCCAACTGGTTGCCTCCTGCATGACCCTACCAGGGCCGGGGATGAACTATAACTGCGGTACATGCCCTTGACCAGAATTGAACCCATGACACATTGGTCTTCAGGCTGATGTGCTAACCGCTGAGCCAAACCAGCCAGGGCATCGGTTGCAGTTCTGTCCCCAGCCCTGGTTGGTGTCGTGTGAGAGGCAGCCAATTGATGTATCTCTCTCATCGATGTTTCTCTCTCTCTCTTCCCCTCCCACTCTACTTGAAAATCAATGGAAAAATATCCTCGGGTGAGCATATTAAAAAAAAAAAAAAATGTTTCCAAACATTGCTGAATGCCCCCTCGGTAGCATTGAGACCCACTGGTTTAGTGATCATTATAAATAAGTGCAAACACCATTTCATTGTTGGATATTATTTTCCACTAGAATATACAGCCCATGGGGAGGAATCTTTGTCTGTGTTATTTATCGCTCACTGTCCAGTGACTGGGGGCGTGCCTGGCACAGAGTGGGTGTTCAGTAGCTATCTGTAGAGTAAACGAATGAGTCGCAGGCCTTTCTGAGAGAGGGCTGCCATGTCCTGAGCACACTGCAGCCGGTCCCTGGGCCATTCCTTTTACGCTTCACAGCAGTGCTGTGATGCATACTGTTCGTCTGTTAGAGGTAAGTTCGTGGAGGCACCGAGAGGTTCAAGAGCTGGCCCGTGGCCACAAAGCAGGCAGTGGCCGAGCCAGAACTCAACCTCTGCTGGCCCAAAAGCCCTGGCCTGCATCGCCGCTGCCTGTTATGGGCCCCGTGGTTAGAGACAGGCATTTACAGGTCGCCCAGGTACCCGTGCACCGCCGTCGTGGCCCTCGGTGTCCACACGCATTGTAGCTGAGGTCTGGCAGGACAGGGTGCGTAATCCACGTGGTTGTGGTTGGTTTCTGTGCACGTGCGATAGGTTTGGTGGGTTTTGGTAAAACAGTAGGGAGAATGCTTTCTTTGAATCTTGAGGTCATTGAAAGTAGTGAGTCAAAGCAAACAGTGGAAATTAATATTTATGAAAGTAGTATTTTCTTGAGGGTCAAGTTATAATTTAACCACTTCTGGTTCACGGATTAAATAATTAACTTTTACTAATTATCCAGTTGCACTAACGTACATTATAGTTTTCTTTCATCACTTATTTTGAAGCCTCGCTTTTAGTTTCAATTTGAGCCAAAAGAAATGCAAGCCATTTTATTATATTATTTAAAAGGCAATGTAAAGTTGAACCTTTTAGTGCAGAGCGATTTTTAAAATTAAAAAATGTGAATTAAATTCAAACCTCTTCAGACATGTTCCACTATCCAGTCTCACGTTATCCAGCCTTCTTCCCTGCCCCCTCTTCTGGGAATAAGGCAGATGACAACCCATATAACCCTAGGGATACATTTTCTGTTGGAGAAAGACCATAATTCCGGAAACAGAATTAGCCGTCCCCTTCTAAAGACTGCATGGACCCAGAATACTTCTGAATGGTTTTTTTTCTATCGTGTCAGCCGGTTAGCATGTCATCCTAACCATGCTTCCAAAGTGGACGAACGGGAGAAGAGTGATAGGTTTGTGTCTCTCAGAAAATGAAGCCCTAAACGATGCCTCTTCCCCCTTGTCTAGACCCACTCCTTCCTTCCCACCACAAGTTCTGGTCCTTGTCTCCAAACACCCTGCTGCGCGTTCGGCTGCAGGCACGGGAAATACAGCAGGAGACCTGAGAACGTCGGCAGAGAAACGCAGAGGCCCCAAGCTGGGCCTCCTTCTCACTGGAGCCTGTTAGGAGATCTAAAAGAGTCCTGGTTCTGTGCACAGGAAGGTTTACCTCCTTTGCCAGAGGAATTAATAATCACTTTGCTTTTACATGCCCATGTTCTGAAGAGGATGATCTATTCATGTCTTTTAGTGATTCCCCTAAAATATGTATAAAGCGTAGCCTGAAAGCTAAGTGACCCTTGGATCACGAATGAGTCCTTTGGGGTGTCTCTGGCTTGTCTGCACTTTGGCCATAGAGTGTAGAGGGTATCTTAGAGGTCGTTTCTATTCCTAGTCTCCCATTTTACAGATAAGGAACTTGGAATTCAATAGCATGTCACTAGAGACCTGAAAAATGCTTTGTTGTCATGGTGACAGAATGGTTGCTAGACTTAGTGTGGTGATTACATTGTAAGATGTATAAATGTGGAATCACTGTATCATATACCTGAAACTAATATAATATTGTATACTAGCTATACTTAAACTAAAAAAAACAAACAAACTTTTTATAAAGGATTCTAATGCAGTTGTCTTTCCTCTTTTCTGAACCCCCTCCATGTCTTATTTTTCATTAGACATGCAAAGTAGTCCATTTTTGCATTCCTTTAATGAAGCCTTTACAATATTAAAATCTCACTTCCTGTAGCTTTAAAAAAATGTAGACTTCGAGAGCCACAAGGCAATCCTTCTGGTCCCAGTGTACTTCCTTTGCATAGCTGCAGCTTTCCTTAACCCCGCAGCCACTTTACTCAGTCTACCCGGAGCCGGATCGGGCCCACCGTCGCCTCTTGCATCGGCACGCGTGACGTGACAAGAGCAGCATCTCGGGTGCAAAGAGGAGCAGCGCCAGCAGACCCGCGGGTGGGCTCCAAGGGGAAGGGAGTCAGTCCTTCAAAGGAACAGATACGCTCGTGCATTACTGACCAGAACGGAACCAAA